GTCAGATAAGTCCATCCCTATTGGAGCTTCCTCACAGAAAGAGCTGGAGGAATATTTTTTTACTTCTAGGACATATGGTAGACGTATTCTTACTTGTTTATCCAGCCCCCTAAATTAAGACTGATATCAGAGCTGGATAGCAAAATTATTTAAACTGACCAAAATAACTGACCTAATAAAATGACCTAATTCTTCTAGAGTGGTTTGAGAACATTTTATCTGGTCTACAAGGAATGTGTAAAACAGGCACACACTTGCTAACTGTAGGGGTCTGTGAATACCAACAGCATCAAAGATGATGGGAACTAACTAAACAGCATACCTGGCCTAGGGAAGAGAGCACACCAGGAAAATTACTCCCAAAAATAGGGAATAATATGAATATTTCAGAAAATGGACGTGGAAGTGGATTCTAGCACAGTTTTCCGAGAATTTCACTATAATCAGAAAGAGCTTTTTGCCAACAGGTGATATGAGAGTATTTAGATGCAAATTTTATTTTTTGCCATGACACAGACAGAATAGATTTCTTTTTTTACTCCTAACATTTGATGGCCTGAAAATGGTTAACTAATGATACTAAAATCTGTATTTAAAATGCAATTCAGTTCTGTAATTATATTTCTTATGCACGGAGACAGAAATAAACTAGAGGAAGAACCTATTAGCCCTTTTGCATGTATAATTGAACACGTTTGATATTACTAGGTAACCTTTGTAAGTAACTGGCTTTGAGTTTATGCAAAGAGGTGAACACTTTGAATACATAAATAACAATAAGAGCAGATAGGTTTTTGATTTTGTATTCTGTTCTTTTCTTGTTTGTGTCTGCTAGATGCAGTCAGACATCCCTGGCTTTATTTGGCCATCCATAGAAACATCTGAAAGATTTGACTTTTGCATCATTTGGGTGCAGTAATGAATAAGAACTGACATCAAATATCAATATTATTGGCCCAGCTAAATGGTAGCTGACATCCAACCGGACTGCTGAGGTGGTAAACAAAATTGAAATTTTGTTTTTGTTTAAAAACTGTCTGACATTATTTGTCCTTCAGTAAATCAATGGAAAAATGACCTAAAGTTTGCATTTTGGCTTGGGGAGATAAAATTGGGCAGTTGCTATCAAGCGCGTTTTGGTTTTCCTAATATAACCTGTAATTCCAAAATCTACTTTTTTTTGTTTTAAGTTAACCTGGTAACCTCTGTAATGATTTCTTAACATGCAAACATCATCCAAACACAGTATGGCAGATACAGATAAACACAGCTGAACGATAATCATAGTCTTATTTGAACACAAACACATATATACACGCACAGAAGGGAGCAAATTTCATTCTACTTTAAATTTGCAATGATTCAACCAGGCATCTATAGTCTTTATACTTCATAAACATACAATGATTTGCTAAACTGGCCAAACGCTGTGCCAAGTAGCAAAGTACACACAAAACTTATTTCAAAAGCTATTTATGCCATACCTATATTTTATATTACGCTACAGAAAAGGTTTGACAGTGTTCAAGAAGGGATCACCATTCCTTGGGGAAAAACAAGTACTAATGTAAATATGTTAGTGGTTTGATTTTTTGTATTTACACAAATTATACAGATGCATAATCTCTCTCCATAACATCTACAAGAGAGGAGATTGCCAGGGCTGACTTGGACATCCCTGCCTTAAGCTGCAGGTGTAGGCACTTTGGTAGCAAATTTTTGTCTGCATCACCTGTTGCCCACCACAAGCCTACATTTGTGCAGTCACACTGAGTCCAACAATTAAGTGGGGTACCCTCAAATCCCAGTAACATTCAAAAGCTGGGGAAATTACTGTGCCTCTTAGATACACTCTCCCTTGGGTTTCCCTACAGTGTGTATATTTGCTTTCCCAGGTAAGGTATGTTCACATGCATCTTTTACTGCACTCAGAGCCTTCAAAGAGAACTGGAGCACGTACAGTAGCCTCTAAAAAACATCCTTACAAGCACACGCACGTGTTGCTACTCAGAGGTTTAGTCCTCATGGAAAAGAAACATCTGAAACATCTTTCTCTACAAAGTCAGTTGTGTTATGAGGACACGGGAGTAAAAGCGACAGTAACATTAACTTTTAGGAGGAAAGATGTGTTTTTCTACGTCTTCTATTCAAAAGCAGCTATATGGATTTTGCTCAAATCTCCTCAAACTGTCCACAAGCAGAGAACAAACTTGCAAAAACACAGAATTTAGACTCTCCTGAAAGCGACTGTCCTGACAGAACCACAACTACAGAAGTTAGACCAGGGTATCTGGCGGGGCAATAGGACCACCCACTGGCTTCTCCTGAGAGCTCGTGTCCCAGCCAGGCAGCCTCCAACAAACAGCCACGTTTTAGGTGCCAAACTGACAGATATGTTCCATAGAAAAATTGCTAATTATGGACTCTGAACGTTATTAAGAGTTCTGGCTTTGGATGTCACCCACTTAACAGAAAACTATTAACTTTTTCAGAAGCATGGTATAGTAAATAACTCAGATTTAATCAGTTTCACAGAGTTTAATGAGGATTTATTCAATTTGTATAAGCGTATTATTTTTTTCCTTCTTTCTCATACAATACTCCTTGCCTACGATGTCCATTAATTTTTGGACACACTGCCTGGACCTAACCAGAAAATACTTTCTTTTTTGTTGTATCTTCTCTACAAGACATTGTGTAATTAGAATTTCAAAACTTTTCTGGGCACCAAGTAGCCTGAGACACAACTATCACAAGCCCACTGAAGTGACTAAGGAGCCTATTTAAACTCACCTAAGTTACCCTAAATACCCTAAGCAGAAAAATGAGTGAACCTCCTGGGATCTTTCACCATTACAGCACAGCACCCACAGAGTCTCACCCTATAAAAAGAATTCTGACAAAGCATGGGATCTGCAGACCACTAACACTGGGGTATAAAAATTAAAAAAAATAATAATTAAAAAAAAAATCATCCAGCTAGGATTCCGTCAGCAACCAGCCTCCTATTTGGCCATTTCAGAGTTAAGAAACCAGATTTTTCCAACAAATCTTTGCCTGGTTGCAGAGCTTTTTTGGCAAGGTCTAGCCATTAGGGTTTCTGTTGGCCACTCTGGAAGTGATGTTGCACCTTTATTCAAAGTGCTCAGTCTCCAGAATGTTTCCAGTTAAACTACTTTTGAGAATACTAATGTTTCTATAAAAATGGTTTTCCTCATAAAACATGCACCTTTTAACAAAAAGAGTTAAATAAATGTCACTCAAAATACCTTAATTATCTGGCTTAGGGTGGAATATTTTAATTTCTTAGTGGGCAAACACTAGAGGGTAAGAGAATAGTTTTTTGGTGCTATATTTGGCTGAAACACAGTGCTTGCTTTGCTACTCAACCAATGTGACAACTTTAACTTGTACAACTCAGAACCAACTACTTAAGTCTTTTCTGGAGTTTTCCAGTACATACAGAGTTAATTTATATACTGCAATTACAGCTTCTGAAATTATATTCCTCACTCAGTTTAATCAATGCTGCACGGGATGTTTCCATTTTTACTAATTCAATCATTGAGAATGTCAACCAATGATTTTAGTCTAAAGTTTAATGCCAACTATAATATTCTTTATCAAAATAACATGCTTATCTGGAAGATTATCAGCACGCAGTCTTTCAGCTTCCTGTTAATCATTATAGGTCACATTAGAGCATGAGGCTCTTTGCAAATATTCAAGTTAAAGACAGTGCTGTAGTATTGCTGTAGTATTTCCCTCACAATTCCTGCTACTGTTAAATATTCTTTGTATTACACCACGTTATTTCAAAATACTAAGAGGCAGGTTGTGCCTGTCAAATATACAGCTACACGCATGGTGGCCAAGGAAGAGTTAGGATGCCTTGGGAATTCCTATTCCCCTTCTTGACAAAAGCTTATCCCACACATTCTGCCACGTCAACCCCTAGGGTTCACCCTATAAACACCTGGGGTTGACATAAGCAGGTTGTAAAGCAGTAGCTGATACTGCTTGAGAGGAGAATATTTCCTACAAATAAAATTTTCCTACAGCAAAAATTGGGACCTTGCTCTGCAGTGAGAGCCAGCACACCATTAAGATATTTTTTCAGAAAAGATGGAAGAAAGCTGGTCCCTGAGAGAAAAGAGTGCAAGCAGTAGCAGAAACCAGCACATGCCTCACCAATTTTAAAGAGCAGTGTGGCCAGGAGAGGTAAAGGAACCATACATCAGAAATGTTTTAATAATTTCAGAATATTTCATAGCACCTCAAAGAAACATTTTGGAAAAATTACTTCCCTTCCATAATGAACAGGCATTCAGATCACACTCTGTCACCAATTCCCAAATGATCCTTTTTGGACAACAACTATGAAATTAACCATCCAGGAAAAGAACCTATCAGCAAATTTCATTGAAGTAAAGTAACTAAATGATCATGACAAAGGAGACTGGCTTAGATATCACACACTGATCGACGGAGAAAGGAGGTAGGCACAAGGAGGGAAGAGCTTTATTGTAACAGTCTCTGGGACTGTGCTCTGGCTGGCAGGCTTGTGCCACACTGAACTGCTCTAGAAGTCATTACTAATAATGAATTCAGCTGCAGAGGTATCTATTTCACCAAAATGCATGGCAGTATTTACCAGAGTAAAGAACACAATGATTTAAACAAAAAAAAAAAAAAGAAGGAAATTCATACACAGAACTTACCTTCATGTTGAATGCAGCATTCTTAGGTATCACACACTGATCGACGGAGAAAGGAGGTAGGCACAAGGAGGGAAGAGCTTTATTGTAACAGTCTCTGGGACTGTGCTCTGGCTGGCAGGCTTGTGCCACACTGAACTGCTCTAGAAGTCATCACTAATAATGAATTCAGCTGCAGAGGTATCTATTTCACCAAAATGCAAGGCCGTATTTACCAGAGTAAAGAATGCAATGATTTAAACAAAAAAAAAAGAAAGAAGGAAATGAATACACAGAACTTACCTTCATGTTGAATGTAGCGTGATTACAGGGATGCAGGTGGCCAGAGAATGCGCAAACATGGAGACCCTAGGAATTAAACAGAAAAAGAAAGCAATTAAATAGGTTGTGCTGATATAAATTCTTCTATACCCGTATAAATAGAAAGACCTCAATTTTATGGCTGTGTGCCATAGCACTTTTTGTGCTAAAAACCAGTTGCTAGAAGAGGAATACATTTCTCACAATTACTAAGGATACATATCCTTACTTCACGTAACAGCTAGCAGAAAAGGTGCATTCAAATATCACCCAAAAAAAAGCCACCTCCCTTGCAGGAGGGTTTGAATTAGGAGGTGTAATCACTGCTTCCAAAAGACTGAGCTCTTGCTCTTAGGCAGTGACTTAGTACATGTCTCTCGATATTCCACACACACCATTAAAGTCTTCCTTAAGGAATCACAAGCATGAAATCAAAATTAATTATCTTTTGTCATCTTCCACATTAGGCCGTAAGTGACCTACATAGTGCAGTAACATATGTCAGATGTCATCACTGATATCTCTTGTTCTCCCAATACAGAAGGCATCCAACCACAGTAGCTCCTGCTAAAAAGAATGAAGTCTTCAGACAGGAAGACAGAGATATTAAAAGTAGATGTACTTCTCTAATTCATAAAAATCACTGGCTTCATTGGTAACAGTAACTAAAATACTTTTTATTAGAAGTGAAACCCAGCTTTGAACAGTATAATTATATCCTGAAGAACAAGTTTCCTCTCTAACATTTTACTGACACTGGAATTGAAAGATAATTTGTTGCATTTTTCTGGAGAGAAGAAAAAACCAAACCTAAGATCTGAAATTCTTCTACTCATCCTAGTACTCCTCCTCTGTACTTATTCCAGCTTGAATCAGTCTCTCCAGAGCAGGGTTACACAGGTTAACCATACCTCTCCAGAGTTTATACCAGCAGCTTAATTCTATTTTTATTTTCCCAATCCACAAAAATTAAAATAAAATATAAAACATCACTCCTACTCTGACACAATATATTTGAATTCTCTTTTTCACTGACAAAGGTGCCTACATTTGTCTGATCAGCATGCTTTATCAGCGTGTTCTCACTGCTTGCAACAAGTCCTTTCAAGAAAGTAGTTAATGAGGTTTGACCACAAAGTAATTCTGGGGTGACGCTACTCGATAATACTCTGTAGTTCATATTACATCTCTGAACCATTTAGGAGAACTCAGTCCAACAAATCAGCAGTTAAAGGGGATTAGATTGCCGTTGTAACTATCCCAGGGGTTAAGAGCAAAGAGGGAAAAGAGCTATTGAAGCTGAAGAGCAGTGTTGACGCAGGAACATGTGGGTATTCATTATCTGCAGATAAATTTCTGTTGGAAATTAGAAGACAGTTCTCAAACAGTGAGATATGAAAACTCCCCTCCACTCCAAGTAGCGGGGATAAAAAATTCTCATTAATTGTAAGAAGTTCCTTGAAAAGTCTGGAAATAAATTGCCTTCTCCTGCATGCAATCTTTTGCCTGAACTTGGAGACCAAGGAGACTCTTCCCAGTCTTGTTCACATGGCATTAGAATACAAATTTCTGATAACGCCCAGCATTTAATGCGTCACAGAATTCTTCTTGTTTAAAAAAAGGTCACCAAAAAAAGGCAGCAGGCTACTTTGGCAAGCATTTTGTATATTACTGTATCTTTCATTTACCTTTCTGTCTTTAAGTAGTCTCTGCTCGAAGGCTGCATGTACTATTGAGATAAAACCAGGCAGTTGTATTATTCCCATGGAACGACTGCAAGAAAAACGTAACAAGAAAAAAAGGCTCTGGACTGTTAAAAACAATCCACTATTTTTAAAGAGCACACATGCCATCCACTTTAAGCATAAAAAGGTTGCCAGAGCGCGGTTCTTGAGTCCTCCACAGTTTTCAACAGACTTGTGGGGGAAAAAAAAGTGCTGAAAAACCTCACCCCCAAAAAGGCCTGTATTTACATGATTTCTAAATAATAAAATATGAATTAATAAGTCCTGATAAAAAGAAAATTTAAGTAATTACTGTTCAATTATAAATTCACTGTTGGAATAAAAACGCGATTACACAAAATTCCCAAGATATTGGCAGTCAAATTACACTTGATAAAGGTAACATAATTGGAGAGAAAGATAACCAAATACATGAGCAGTCTAAAAATTTCAAGGACATCAGATCTACCCTGTGGCCTAGCAGCAGCATCAATCCTACCCAGTCTGTAGTAACAAACCAAATGTAGGCACATGTTTTGCATGCAAAAAGTAGCCTTGTAAAAGCCTTGCAACTGCTGTTGCTCAGCAGGGCACAGTATTTACCCTCAGACACTCTCAAATATCAATATATACACAGTAACCTTTCCACAAATGCAGAAAAAGTCTGCTATCACAATCCAAAAAAACCCACATGGATGCCATACCACAAAATGAATGTGAACTTTCTGATTTCCCTTCCATAACTCATCTGAAGAGGATATTAATGATAGTAGTAGTAATAGTAATAATAATAATCATAACAATAAAAGCTAGACAAAGGCAACAGTTCTGTAAAGGGTTTCTCAATACTGTCACTGAAACTTAATTTCCAAGGTGTCACTTTATCTTTATTGAATGCACAGTTAGTGTTTCCTTTACCAACAGCAGGAAATCTGAGTTTTGCAGACAGAGATGCCATATGAACAAAACTGGAAAGCTTACTATTTAACTGTAGTGTCAGCAAAATCAAGCTAATAAATATTCTCTGGATCAGACTGCATGTTAAGATAGCACCGGGCTTTCAGCATCAAGAGCTTAGCAGTAAGTTAATGATACCCCTTTTGCAGACTAGTTCTGATTTTCAGTCTTTAATTATAAAATAATCTACTATAACACCACCGGGACCCTTGTTTCATTCAATGTGGAACTGAACCAGATGTGAACAGGGTGTCTAAGTCCCAGGCTTAATCTTCCTTGGAGCAAAGGTGGAGAATCTCTGAGAAACCTGGATTTCTTTCAGGTTCAAGATGTGCAAGGACAAACATCTGGGACTTGTATCACGAGGAAAAGAGGAGGGGAAAAAGGAGGAGCTTGTCTTAATGTCAGGGGAGTTGTCAGTTAGGCAAAACTGTGCTCCTTTGCCACTACCTTCAAGGTCTCCCTGACCATTACTGCACTGACAGAGAGAACATAATCACAAATTGGGAGTAGGAGAAACAACAAAGCATCAGGGCAGACCTCGGCAGCTGTAAAAAGATGAATTTTTTCCACATTTAACCCATAAATCCAGCCTCCTTGCATCTAATCCCCTAGCAGTATAAAGGGCAGTAAATTATTAAGAATACATTATTATTACCTGAATCATCAGGTTTTGATTGAAATATTAATGGAGGAAATTTCAGTTCTATTCACTCCTTGAACTACTGCCCAATTACATTAATAACCATACATTCTTCCTCTGTGGAAAATACACAGATAATAGCAACGTTCAAAGAAAACAAAATATGAAGTGTTCTGCATTATGAATTATTTTTTTTTAATGATTATTCACACATGCACACATACATATAATTTTCCATTTTGAAACCCACAAATTAACATCAGAATCAGCGGTTAGATAAATCATAGCATTATGTTATGGAGCCTATCAACCTCCCAGCTTCCCCTGAGCACAGACATTAATTGCCTGCCTTGGACTGGAACTATCTAAAAGACTTCTGATAGAGAAAACATTTCTTTTTTTTTAAAAATGCAATCCAGTACTGAAGAAAAAGTAGCCTGACCCTTGGAACTACAGATCTGGGAACAGCAACCCTGGTGCAAAAGTACTTAAACACGGAACCTGAATTCAAATGATTTTTTGTTCTTACTTTCAAAGGAAAAAAGCTCAATATTTCAGAATCAATAGTGAAATTCTGCTGTAAAACCTCCCAGTTGTGTCCATATAGATATACAACTACCAGGTCAAGACAAGACAGGATGAAGACACTCAAAATTAATATACTACAGTTTCTTTGCATAAATAGAATTAAGTTCAACTGTTAACTATGTAACACAGCAGTTGTATCTTCCTATACTTATTTTTATTACCAGTTTAGCAGCAGCAAAAACAAAAAAAACCCCAAACCTAACAAGCACCTCTGGAGAAAACACACAGCCAAAAACTGTTGAGCATAATTTTGAAACCACTCACGTTTTTTTAAACTCTGTCGTTTTGATTATTTTTCTGGATTTTGAATGCCCTGCTATACATGAAAGTCTGACATAAACAAACTTACTTTGCCAAGTTCCAAAATCAAGATAACAAATCCATTAGATCAGACTGAGTGTAATATACTAGGTGCAATATGTACTTATCTCTATTAGTTTTATATTATACGAGCTTTTAGATAACAACATCTGAGTATGAGATTTATCCAAACAGTGTTCAGATAAAATTTATTCATAATTTCTTGGTTCATTTAGAAATTAACTCAAAGAAATGCGTTCATTCAGAAGGACTGAACTAAGAAAAGCGTTCAAACCATGAAGCACTCAACAGAGGAACTGCTCACCTCATCCTCTTTATTAAAAACAAACAAGACCTCCCAACAGTTTTCTCATGAAAGGTTAGATTTTAACTGGGGAAAAAAAAACCCTAGTATCTTGAATGAAATGTCTGATCTTACATTGGTAAAAAATGCTTGGAAATCTCACTTCACTAGACTTGAATGAAGACACTCAAAATTAATATACTACAGTTTCTTTGCATAAATAGAATTAAGTTCAACCATTAGCTGTAAAACACAGCAGTTGTATCTTCCTATACTTATTCTGAAGACAGTCATAAGTAATATACTACAGTTTCTTTGCATAAATAGAATTAAGTTCAACTGTTAACTATGTAACACAGCAGTTGTATCTTCCTATACTTATTTTTATTACCAGTTTAGCAGCAGCAAAAACAAAAAAAACCCCAAACCTAACAAGCACCTCTGGAGAAAACACACAGCCAAAAACTGTTGAGCATAATTTTGAAACCACTCACGTTTTTTTAAACTCTGTCGTTTTGATTATTTTTCTGGA